GAAGAGGTCTGAGTTCTCTACCTCTTTACTTTTGTAGTTCTCTTCTAGCTCAAGTTAAGTTGCTAATTGTTTCCTTTTTATATTCAGTCAAATCTATGCCTAAAATAAATAATAAGTGTGAGGAGAACAGAAAATTCTATATGCAGAGTAGTTTGCAGCCCTCTCCCAACTTTTATTTTTGAGATATTATATTCATTGTCTTACAAATAATTTTGTTGGTTTTGTTATTGTGACAGAATCAACAATGGAGATGAGCTGCATAACCTCTAATGCTAAGTGATATAATTAGACTATTACTACTTTTGTGAATTGAGTAGGCTTTTTATTTCACAACAATCTCTCTTAAAATGATTTAAAAGAAAATGCTTTCCCAGGATTTCTGAGTATTTTCGCAGTGAGACCAGACTGAAATGAGTAATTAGCTCTCTAGAGACCCACCAAGTCTCAACCCTCAGCAGGGAGGTCATCCCTAAGAATTCTGACAGCTCAGAGTGGAGATTATCTGCTCACCGCAGCATCCAATGATTCAGAGTACACCAAAGCTGCTCTTTCCAGAGCTCTCAGAAAGGGCACCAAATATGCATGTGAGTTACGGTCTCCATCAAGCCTGCATCCTGGTCTAGCTTGGCCGTAGACACAACTATCGAGAGGAAGGGAAGGTAGCTCCACTGAGTTCTGTTCTGAACAAAAAGCTTTAAAACTTACATTCACGGATGTAATCACATTCAGCATAAAAGGTAACAGGGAATCTGTGTCAGCACCATCTTCTACGTAAACATTTACTGAGCAGCTGTGATGTGCCCACCCTGTGCTAGGCACCCTAGAGCAATTAAGCCACAGAGCCAAGAAGCCTCGGAACAAAAGAATGGAACAACCTTCAAACATCTGAAGTTGGAGATTGGCATCATTGTCATGGCAACAAAAGATGCCCCTCATTTTTGCACCCCTGTGCAATGACAAAATTTCCACACCCATGCATGAACAGAAGTGCCTCTGTGAGAGAGAGACCCGGGACCAGCCTGTTCACAGGTGCACCAGGTAATAGGCAGATGGGCTTAGGTGTCAACTGTGGAAACTACTAGAGACTGTGGAGCAATGCAGGTGTCTCGGCCTAATATCTGGGAGCAACAGGGAGCAGGACTTGGGCAGTCACCTACAGACAAGACAACCTGGCAAAAGTGCAGACTCCCAGAGGAGCTGCTCCAGCACTCCATGGAGAAAAAACACACAAGTCTGGAGGTGTTGAAGAGTAAAAGAGCTCCTGACTTGGCCAGCCATCACCCCTCCCCTAAGGTGACACAGCGCAGAGCTAAACTAGAGGGCGACTGATTTCTCTCACATGGCAAGGAGTGAGCCAGGGAGGGGACTGCCCACAGCTCTGCAGGATGCTGCCAAAGAGCTCTGATTTTTCTCCCAGCATCCAGAGTACAAACTTGCCAGTTTGACTTGGGGGGAAGGTGTGGTAGATATAGAATTCCTGGCATCAAACAAGGATCACAGTTCCTGCTGACTGCATTCTGAGCTCCATCACAAAGTCAGTCCATAACCTGCTTGGAGAGCAGGCACCCTGCTCTCCCCTCTACTGACTCCTCCGCCCCAGGTAAGCCATCCCCACCTCCCCTACTCTGGGGTCAGTTCCAGGCTTACTCTCCCAAGGCAGCAGCTAAAGCAAATGCTCAGAGACAGGAGCACTTGAAGAAAGCAGATCAAGGACTCAGGCAAAGGAGAAACTCACATTCTGGTTCCACCTTCATGGAAAAAAAAAAAAAAGATTTCCAGCGACTGGCCTGGAGCATTACAGAATCAAGAGAAGATGCACAAGCTTAACAACCTGCCACTTGTGACAAACACCACTCTTACATAATAAAAACTTTTTGCTCACAATTTCATGATGTAAGTGCTTGGGTTTTCTTAAGAAGAGAGCAGTTTCCAGATGCCGGGGCAGCTCACTGTTGCACATAAACCTTGAATATCCAAACTTTGAAACTTTACCTTGTAAAGTGAACCTTCTGCCCATACACATTTACACGCCTGTATCCACATGAACACGTGTGCATATGTAAAGTGACATGCAACAGTCACTTTAGTTTAAAATACTGTGTGAACGCAAAAGTCAGTAGCCTTCCTATACACAAACAATAAATCTGAAGAAGAAGAAATCAAAAAGACCATCCCTTTTGTTATTGAAACAAAAAAAATCAAATATTTGGGAATAAATCTAACAAAAGAGGTAAAGGACCTATACAAAGAAAACTATAAAACACTGTTAAAAGAAATAGAAGAAGACACAAAGAAATGGAGAGACATCCCCTGCTCATGGATTGGAAGAATAAACATTATTAAAATGGCCATCCTACCAAAAGCAATATACAGATTCAATGCTATTCCAATCAAAATTTCAATGTCATTCTTCAAAGAAATAGAACAATTATTGATGAAATTCATATGGAATCACCAAAAACCCCGAATAGCCAAAGCTCTCCTGAAAAAAAAAGAAGGGAATGGAGGCATCAGACTCCCAGACTTCAAACTATACTACAAAGCCATAATCATCAAAACTGCATGGTATTGGAACAAGAACAGACATACAGACCAATGGAATCGAATAGAAAATCCAGAAATAAACCCACACATTTATGGTCAACTAATCTTTGACAAAGGAGCAAAGAATATGCATTGGAGCAAAGAAAGTTTGTTCAATAAATGGTGCTGGGAAAACTGGGTCGCTACATGCAAAAGAATGAAGCTTGACCACCACCTCACACCATACACAAAAATCAGCTCAAAATGGATTAAAGAACTAGACATAAGACCTGAAACCATAAAATATATAGAAGGAAATATAGGCGAAACACTACGTGATTTGCACATCAAAGACATCTTTACAGACACATCACCCAAAGCAGTGATAGTGAAGGCAAAGATAAACAGCTGGGACTACATCAAATTAAAGAGCTTTTGCACAGCAAAAGAGACAATAACAAAAACAAAGAGAAACCCCACCAACTGGGAGAACATTTTTGCACCCAACACTAATGATAAAGGACTGATCACAAAAATCTGCAAAGAGCTGATGAGACTCAACAACAACAAAGAAAATAATCCAGTCAAAAAATGGGCAGAAGAGCTTAAAAGAAACTTCTCCGAAGAGGAAATGCAAATGGCCAACAGGCATATGAAAAAATGTTCAACATCACTTGTCATCAGGGAAATGCAAATCAAAACTACCATGAGATACCATCTTACACCAGTGAGAATGGCACATATTAAAAAAACTAGCAACAACAAATGTTGGCGAGGGTGTGGAGAAAAAGGAACTCTTCTGCACTGTTGGTGGGAGTGCAAACTGGTCCAACCACTATGGAAAGCTGTATGGAGATTTCTGGACCTACTAAACATAGAGCTTCCATATGATCCAGCAATTCCACTCCTAGGTATTTACCCAAAGGACACAGAAACATCAATTCCAAAGAACACCTGCACCCCTATGTTTATAGCAGCACTGTTTACAATAGCTAAGCTTAGGAAACAACCCAAATGCCCAAAAATAGATGACTGGATCAAGAAGATGTGGTACATATATACCATGGAATATTACTCAGCATTCAAAAAAGATAAACACATGCAATTTGCAGCAACATGGATGGCGCTGGAAGGGATCATGCTCAGCGAAATAAGCCAAAAAGAAAAAGAAAAATACCGGATGGTCTCACTCATAGCAGGAATCTAGAAAACTTAAATAAGGGACCAGGAAAATGAATAACTATAAGAAAGTGAAAATCAAAATCAACAAAAACTATGAACCAGAGACACTTTTAGGGGGCGGGGGTGGGAGGGAGGGATTGGGGTCAGAATGGGGGGATTGCAATTGTATGGGGAATATAACAATAAAATTTATTAAAAAAAAAATAAATAAAAAATAAATAAAAAAATAAAAAATAAAATAAAATACTGTGTGAAGGCAATTGTAGAAGAGCGTTGGTCTAGCAATTAGAAGGCCCTGTAAAGCAAAGCAAATTCTAAAAAATAATAAAAATGACTGTTTAACTGAAGTCCTTCTGGGTGACCTGATGTAACTGAGATTTCAACCTGAATAATCAACCATATTCCCACATTCTCAGACTGTTCCAAACTGGACCATTCAAGGACTTTTACAAGAAAGTGATTTATTCAACACAAATTAGACTGCTGACCCAAACTTCTGAGAATATTGTATTTTCAAACTGGCGACTGCTATCTTATTGCTATCAGTCTCGATTCAAAATCAACATTTGTGTCTGTTATGCATCAGATGGAACTACAGAGTTTTTTTGAACACTTCTAATAGCTTAACCCGTATGAAAGGAAACAAAATAAATATGAACAAAGTGTGAGCAAGAAGCAGAGGCCAAGAGTGGCAGATAAAAGGCCCCAAATCAGCCCTCAGGCCGACTCAAGCCTTCCCGCCAGTCCATGGGACAAAAGGCAGTCTCATCTCCTACATTCTTACCTTCTCACACACAAGTACCAAGGGATGCATACTGCCCTGGCTGTAAATTAACACAAGGGGAAAAGAGAGCAGGAAAAAAAAAAATCGAGCGCTGGCCTGCATGGACCCTCCCTAGCACCCCATCTACTGCACACGCTGCATAAATCTAGGCCCGTGGAGAGAGAGCTGAAGTGGGAGCCGATGGGGACCCTTCCCACCCAGTCGCTTCTCCCAGGTTAATCCTCTTGCTGACCTTCAAGAATGAAACCATTTATGTGCATATTATTTCAGTGAATCCCCAGTACGGTACGTGAGGCTGTAGTGAGAATAAAGGGGGTCGTTGCAACCAAAACACTCAGCACTGTTTTCCAGGCACAAGCAAGGCGCCTGGGAGGCATCGCGGTGTCCTACAAACAAGTAAATGTTCCATAGACCGAAAAGCAGCAATTCTTGACCCCTCAGCACAGCGGACACGAGGCAAACACCGAGCAAGCCTGGAGAGCCAGCAAGCAGCCAGGGAGCACTGACTTACCCGAGCTGGAAGCGCGGCGAGCACCCCGAGGGAGCCGGCGCCTGCAGGAACACCCCTCCTGGGACCGTCGACTTTCTGGAAGCTCGGTGAGAGCAAAGCTGAGAGTTGAAAATTCCAGGGACTCAGCCATGGCTCCTGAACGTCTCCCTGCACACGGTGCCGCGCCCAGGTGTCCACGTGGGTGTTTCTGCCCGGGCGTTTTCACCCCAGGTGTTTCCACCCCAGGTGTTCTCACCCAGGTGTTTTCACAGCCGGTGCACAGGCCCGGAGGCCCCGCGGTCCTCGTGGAAGATAGATTAGCTTGTTGGTAGCTTGGATTCAGCTGAGGCAATGCTCCCCTTTTTGTTTTAGAGATCTCTTAGCCCTCCCAAGGGGGACTCCACCTGGACAGGGGTGTAGGGGCAGGACGGGCACAGAGCAGCTGTCTAGGATCCGGCAGATGGTAAAGGAGAGGCTTGGAGCCCTCGGTGGCTTTCTCAGGCTTTTGCTGAGCTTTACATGTAGTGTGGAAAAAGGCACACGGCAGGCAGGGGTGCCTGGGGGCCAAGAGGCAGGGAGGCTTCCAAGCCCCCAGCAAGTCTTCACTCTGGGCTTCTCTAGCCCCTTTCTCTCCTTCCCTCTCCTGCCTCTCTCCTGCTTCTGCTTCTCTCCATGACTATCTCCATACTCCTCCCAGGGCCCACAGAAGTAAACAAGATAGCTTACAATAATGTAACAACTGCAGGTGCCCCATCGGGCAGAAAAATCCTAATGGTGGGAGGGCAGAAAAGCCTGAAAAAGCATTTACCCTGCAAGGGGTCTTTGCCTGGTGGAGGATGCAGGCAGAATGCAGGCTCTACTGGAAAGTGACAACATCTCAAGTTTGTAAATTGTCATCCCTCCCAGCCATCAAAACCATTAAGTTTACCCAGTGTAAAGGCAGGACTGGACACAGCGCAGGTTTTCTGATCCCATGCAGACCGGGTAAAGGAGGAGTCAGAGTCCTTAGTGGGTTTTTGCAGGTCTTTTATTGGGGTTCACCAGGCATATGGCAGGCAGGGGTGCTGGCTGGGAGGCTGGCAGGCCTCCCGGCCCCCAGCAAGTCTTCACTCTATCTGGGCTCTCTAGCATTCGTTCTGCTGCTTCTCGGCTTCTCGGCTTCTCTTTCGGCTTCGGCTTGGGCTTCGGCTTCGGCTTCTACTGCTGCTGCTGGCGTCCCCATGACGCCGCCCTTAAAAGCACATTCTTAGTCCAGCTGAATCCCATCTACCTATGCCCACACCCTATTCCAGGTGCCCGCCATCAGGCATGCATTCAGGACAAGGATCCATCATCTATCCTGATGGCGGAAGGGCAGAAAAGCCTGACATTTTCTTTACCCTACACCCAGCTATGGCAAACAAAAGGCAAAAGAAGAAAATAGCCACCCCACCCCCAACAAAAGAAAATGTTGCGTGATTTCTGAATCGAGTGGGTTTCGTGAATATGGTGAAAATCTGTTGCTATGTGATAATGGAAAATTACTTTTTCATGTTTAATTTCGATAAATGCCCCTTTTCTATTTGGAGGGATTTTATCAAAATTGCCTTACAGTCAATTATTTATACAGTGAACATGTTTACAGCAAAGAACTTTCAAAAATCTACCAGAAACACAGTTACAGGGAACCCCTGCAATATTGTGAGATTTACCCCATCAGCGAGCCCTGGTTCCCACAGTAGATTCGGAAGAAAAACCCCCTTCCTCCTGCAGCAAGGGGGCAGAAAAGGGATGATTTTTATCTACCTCCAGAACACCCAGATTTTAACAAGGCCTGCCCTGGGGGAAACTAGTGAAGCAGAGACTAAGGAGCTGGGTATTGATTGACCCCAGAAGGGAAATACCCAACTAGACTCAGCCACAGCCATCCTCTCCCACCTGGGGAGTGGGGCGTGCAGGGAAGGGTGGGGGGACATCAAGAAACTCCTGAAGTTCAGAGTTCACGCATCAAAGAAAGTCTGACATACTATAAGTGCAAGAATCAGCTTTTTTCAGAGTTCAACTGCACATCTCCAAGGCATATGTATTTCACAATTGGAAGTTTGTAACTTTTGACCTCCTTAGTACTATTTATCATTATAAATCTTTTCTTCTTATGATTTATTTATTTTTGCATACAAGAGGTGGGCATAGGCCAAAGGAGCGGGGTGGTAAGAGGATTCACCAGAGACAGAATGGAGAGCAGAACTGGCCGATCTTCTGAAATACACTGCTGTGGGGCGCAGCAGGTGAGACAAGAGAGGGCTGCTGTGCCATGCGGGTCAGCTTCCTGGCCTGGAATCAAACTTGTGCTGGAGTCGCTGCCGATTGCTTCAAAGTGCTGAGACTTAACCCCTTGCACCACCAGTGAGGCCTTCACTGTAAATCTTACATAAAACAGATTTTTTTTAATGAGATAATCAGACGTTTTAAAAACCACATGTTCCTGTTCAACTGCCTCTCCTGTTCAGCTCCTGCTCCAATACCTGGGAGTCTGCAGAACCATGCACTCTAAATCATAGTTCACAAACAACTGACATAGAGCAAAAATCATGGACTTTTGAACAGTCCTTTAACCTTCAATTTCCTCAACTGCAAAGTGAGAATGATAGCACCTATACAGCAGTGCTGTCCTGAGAATTAAGTAAGAAATTTAAATGGTAGTTGCTCAGTTCAGATTTGTCTTTTATCTCCTAATTCCCATTTTAACCATCTCTATGGTGGTCTCAAGAATGCTGCCTTTTCTAGCATTGTTTCATAAGAAAAAAATCTCTCCTCTTGGCCAACACATTGACTATATCCCATGCATCATTCAGGTTAGACTTGCAGCTTTATGACCAGATTTGTGACTTCATGAGAATAGGAGCCTGAACAAACAGAGAATTCTATTTTCCTTCTTTCCTACAATCCACTTCCAAATTGGGCATCCCAGGCACTGGTTTTCTGTGCACCCAGGAACACTGTGAACACCCATAAGGCAATCCATGCCATATTATTAATAAATATATAATGTATTTATATATAATATATGTAATACTTTTCATTTCATATATAATACTTTTCATTTCCTCTGAAATATTCAGAGGGAATTACCTGACAATAGATGATTAATCCTCACATTTGGAATTCAAAGACTTAGAGGCATTTATGTTGAGGTGGTCTTTAAAGAGAAGCAGAGGAATGTACAGGGAGAGCAAGGCCATCAAAATCAGACAGACCTGGTTTTGAACTCAGGCTCCATGAGTACTATGTGACCTTGATCAAGCAATGAGATCCCAAAGCCTCAGTCTCTTCATCTGTAGCACAGAGGAATCATACCCATCTCGTCAGCGTTCCAGCACGAAATGATAAAATGTGTGCAATCTCTTGGTCAATTGTAAAATCTACACAAACATACATGCTCCTTTATATGTAAAGATTATTCTCAATAACAAGATCAGTAGAAATTATAGGTTGCCTTAAATGGTAATGTAACACTGATGTATTACTTAGATAATTGAGATGAGAATAGTTATATATAAACCATTGTTACAGCTGAAACACTGATGACTTCCAGAAACTTAATTGACCAAATATTTATTGAGTATTACTATGTGCCATTTAGAGCAAGAGGCAAAGATAAGTTAGATTCTGGCCGTATTCTCAACAGTGTGACAATCTAAGGAAGGGGAAATAAACACTGAAATACAGGTGCTAAAGACTTTGAAAGATTCCCATTCTGTGCTGTGTGAATTCAGGGAAGGAAAAGAACATGTCTGTACAGATTAAACATGGAAGCTTCCTAACATAGCAGTATTTCCAATAGGCCTTGGAGAGTGGGCAGAAGCTTAACAGGTGGAGATGGGAAAAATATATTAGGAGGAAGGCAGAAGGAAATGTTCAGAAACAATGAGCTCTACCAGAGGACAATGAAAAATAAAAATAGAACACTAGGAGAGGGCCTTGCCTTAAAGGTGTTGCATGTCAGTGGGTGTTTGCGGTTGGTTCCAAAGGTAGTGGTAATCATTGAAGTATTTGGAGGGGAATAATGAAATCAGAGAAGCATTTTTAAATGACTTGTCTGGAAACGTGGATAAAGGCATCTTCTAAGAGTGAGGGCCAGTTTTGGATTTAGAGTTTGGAAGTGCGTTCTTATGGTATGGGGTAGTGGCTAATGAAATAGTACTCAAAAAAAAAGATGAGTAAAATATCACAGGACAAGCAGCAGGGACCCAAAGTCATCTATATGCACACCTTACTCAACAGGCTGCTCCAGAGTGGCGATTAGAAGGGAGCAGAGAGTTCATGGGTGGAGCAAGACAAGGTAGTCTGGAGATATGAGACGTGGGTTCTTGGGGTTTTGTTGGAATGAAAGAGAAACACAAGAAGCTAATGGAATGAAGACTGATAAAACTAATGGCCACCAACCAGAGGCACACAGAGGGAAAATGGAAAGCGTTCTGGGGGAGGACAGGCAAATATGAACAGAAGAGAATTTTAAATATCAAAATGTTAATGAAACATGGAAAGTCAAACTTGTGCCTACAAAGTGGAAATCATTATCAAGTGTTTGCAAATTAGCTAAAATCTCCTGGTTATTCCACTTGATCTGTTGAAACTCTGAGTCTAGTGCTAGCCTGAGCTTTTGTGATTCGTTGATAAGAGTGAAAACATCTTCCGTCCTAAGGACTACATTCTTCTGGGTCAGCTTGGCCTGTGCGGAACACATGGGAAAACCCTCACAGGTCACACAGGTCAGTAAAATGTGTGAGCATTTGAGAGATCGCCTCTTCACCTCCTACCTGCCACATCCCAAAATCCAAAGGTCTAGACTCTTCAAATACAGAGACAACTGTTCTCTGAGGAAGTTCTCCTTCTCCTCTTCTCGCCCCCTCTTCATTATTCCCAGACTGACCCTTGATTTTTAGAAGAGTTTCATTCCCTCAAAACTAAATAGTCTCCCACCAATCCCACTCATAAGTATCTACCCTAAAGAGGTAAAAACACAAATTAGAAGGTATGTAAACACTCCGATGTTCACTGCA